GATGTTTTCATTGTTTTGATTTTTTGTGTGTGTCTATTTATAATTCTACCTGTTGTCTTTATCATACATATCACCTTCATGAAATGGAAAATGTACTAGAAACCAGGCATTATTTTGGATGTGCTTTTGGTGTTGATAAATGATTAGCTACAGAATTATAGAGTGTTTAAGTGCAGACCCACGTGCATTTGAATGCTGGCCCCATCACTCCATGGGCGTGTGATTTTCTTTCCTTTTTGGGCCTCCCTTTCCTCTTCAACAAAAAAATTTAGTAAGAGATAATCATTGTAAAGTGCTTTGCTTAGTGCTTGGCACATAGTAATAATCTGATAAATGTTAGTTATTGTTGTTTTATAATAATTACAATTTTTTGTGATAATTACCATGATTATTCATAATTTATTTTGTACTCAGATTTTTTAAAATAATTATATTGAACTCCCATTTTAAGAAATAAAAAATATTACAAGGACAGCACCCCCAGTGCTAAAACTAGCAAGACAGTGAGTTACTTTGCTGGCCATCAATGAAAGGGACTTCAGGATAAGTTACCACTGGAGTCTATTAGAAAATTATTATTTGAGCACAAAGAAAAGGATAAAAGTACATAAAATAGGCTGTTTCATCATAAAGTTAAGAATTTAGATGGCCTCCTTCACCTGTTTTATATTAGCTTATTTTTCTATTAGAATTGAGGAAAAGGCTATAATTTCATTTTTCCTTTTGTGCTAGTTTGGAATATAAATATGCTCTTCAAATGGGGGTAAACATTTCATCTTGATGATTGATAACTATAGCATGCATTATTAAAAAATCATCAAAGCTATAGGTGCAGGTACAAATGTAGCTTGGAGTTTAACACTGAAAAATGACCAACTGGAAGATAATAGTACCTTACACAGTACTGAACTGCTTTAATTTTCCTCATATTAATTTACGTTATTTTTGGTTCTCAGTAAAATGTTGAACATCCTTGGCAAAATGCAAGTTTCAGTAGTTGTGACCTTTGGCTATAGGACTAAGCTTTTGTGTTAAAAGGATTACTTTAATTCTAAGCTGCAGTAGCTTCCAAAAAGGAAAATCACACTGAAGTGTGGCTGAGGTTGGCTGTTTCTTAGGAACTTCATTTCCTGGGGTTTTATAAACAGGGCACTATTTTTTTTGTTACTTACAGTGGAGCTAGTTCTAAACAAAAAGACCAAGCTCCAAGAAGAGCAATAGCCTCTAGGGAATCTGATGCTAATGAAGCAAGTTTGCTATTGTTTTTGCATCTGGCCATCTATCAAATCATGTCTCCTTCATAAGTAATTTTAAAGGGTTCATTATATCCTTAAATGTGACATTACTTACAGTGTCTCAAAACCAACATTATCTTTTTGGAGCAATAAATCATCTTTTTAAAATAATTCAACATTTTCACTGTTAAAAGCAAGATATAAAATGGAATATACTGTGTGGTTCTATTTGTGAGAAATCACATATTCCATAAAAATCATGTGTAACATGTATGTGCTCACATACAGCCAGTAGGAAAATGTTAACAACAGTTATATTTGGGTGGTTCTTTTAGTTTTTCCATATTTCCCTAAGTTTCTGTACTTTATATGTGTTTTACATTCAAAATAGCTATGTTAGTTTTTTTTAAAGATCAAGTAGATTGTGCTCTGTATTTGTTTTATGTGTCTGTACTTCTACGAACATGGGAGTAGAGTGGTGAGTAGATAAATTCCTCCTATGACTAATTCTTGGGTATTGTCAAATAGCCTAGGCCCCTGGAAACACTTTTATGTACATATTAAAAATGAGAACATGCTTGTTTCTCTATAATTCTAAAAGAGGTGGATCAAGGGTGAATGATAATAGGTGAGAGGTTTGAGTCAAAGGGAAGAAAGACACCAGGATTTCAAAATACCAATTATCTATATGTTTATCTATTCCCTAATCCTATGGACAAACTCCAGAGGAAAATTATGTTCTAGTTTTATAGCAAGAGAGAGTGACGCACAGAAGATCAAAAAGTTTGTACAAGGTTAGATTCAGCCATGGCTCCTCTTCAAAGCACTCATTCACACAGCCACTTGTCATGCTGAAATTTGCAATGCGTGCTACTCAGAGACATCAGGTACTTTGTGGCCACTAATGCATTTATTATGGTAGGATTATGGGTCTTGGCTCAATAAAGTATACACTTTCCTCTGATTAACCGCATCTCCTTTTCCTTCTGTCTTGGTAATAATAAAGTACAGAAAGGTTGCTGCCTAAGAGTGTTTGGGCACAATCTTGAAATTAACTAGTTTACAGATGAGCTTTCAGGCAGTGCTGTTGGCTGAACTTAAGGTGTCAAGGGACTTTTCCATATTTAAGGACTTTAATAATTTCTGTATCCCCATAAGGTCTCCGTAAAGAGCATTTGCTTTTAGATTTCGCTCCTGCAGTTTTTTACCAACATTTCTGACTTCTCTTTACAGAAAGAGTGAGGGTAAAAATAAAGTAGAAAATGATTCGTAAAGTTAGGGGAAGGATGGCCAAAGACAGAGTGGGTAGTTCTTGGCTGTACTGTCATTCCTACCTAGAAAAATAAAAAAAATGCAATAATGCACATTGACCCTTGTATTGCCCTTCTCCAGTAGCACTGGCTCAGGACTCAGCAAGTCTTTCTTCTTGGGCGAGGTGAGAGAGCTGAGGCAGGGTACCCTGGAGCTAGAGTGGGTGACTGACTCAGCCCGCAGTAAGGAGGGCAGGTGACTGAGCACACCGTGCCTCTTTGCACATCGTGAAATTGGAGAGCTGTGGGGCACTGACTCTCCTGTGACTGTTCCCTCAGCACCCACATGTATGCATACATATGAGTCTGCATACATACATACATACAATGGCAAAAGGAACTTTTTTCTAATCCCCCTCAGTCTTTCCCTACCTGTCCCATATAAATACTCAAATCCTAAACAAACAAAAAAAAAGGCAATTTTTTCCTTAAAGCATTGCTCACTGTGCAAATTAGAATCCTTTCTGCACATAATTGAAGCTTCTCATCAATTTATGGGGAATCCTAACAGTTTCTTTCCACTTTAGGAAGCCCCAGCAATTTTACTGAGTGGGTCGGTATTATAAACCCTTCTAACCACACTTCAGTTAGCTAAATTTCCTTGTTTAAAAATTCCTTGTTGGGGAAGTTGTTGAAATGCATCATTTCAGAATCATTTTCTATTGTAGGCTTTTTTTGGTATGTGCATTTATTCAGTTTATTAAATGCACACATACTTTAAGCCAAATTGTATATGTAACAAAGTGGGTCTTAAAAAGATAATTTACGCATTGCAAAATTTTTGGGGAAAAAAGGGATATAACCTGTGCTTTATTGAGGACTTTTGCCACTGAAAAGCTAGAAATAATTTTACTATTACAAAGATAAGACAATCTTGAGATATTTGGCAAAAACAACTTCTGGGCAATTTAATAGAGTGAAATATCTCCTTCACTAAATTTATAACTTTCTTTAAGCTTTGATGGGAGTAGGAGGCAAGACTGATAAATTACCCTAAATATTATATATTCTAAATGGTTCTTTTACAATTCTTGGGAATGAAATAAGACCAATAAAGAATTAGGTGTTTTAATAAAAATTCACACCCTTTTCAGTTTAGAGTGATTCAAATCCAGTGTAATTCCTGTAAAAAAAATTAGAAGTCTTATTTCCAGGGATTAATTTCAGATTAATGATGTACCTTGGTCAAGATGACTTAAAAATAAACTTTGTAGTCAGGCAATTACAAAGAATAAAATGGAAGAAAAGACTGTACCTTGGAAAAACACCTAGATTTCATATTATTTTAATTCTGGCTGTCTGAGAAATCTCTACAAAGAACAGGTACCCTTTAAAACATGTAATTCTCGAACTAAGGAGATGCAAATAACACATTTCCTTTGAAGTGTTTCTCAACCTTTTCCTGCTTCTTACCTACACTTTGAATTTCAAGATCTCTGTGTAATTTGACGATGACCATAACTGGTCTAATTATCGGTAAGGATCTGCTTACAAACGTCATCCATATACCGCTTGTGCGGAGGCATATTTTCTAAGCGTGGTTTTAGGTCATTCAGGTCCTTTCCAGAATTGTTTGTGACTGAGCGAATGGTTCCATTGCAGAATTCTGTTCAGGTCATATCCAGGAAGCTTTCTTTGTAAAATAATGACACTCACTTTTGACTAAAGAGCTCCAGCTAGCTAGATAAAGAAATATCCCATTGATATTTTGGAAGTCCTTCTCACAAATTATTCACGAAAGCAAGCTGGGCCCCATTTCTCACTTTCCTCCAACTAGAAAGTTGCACAACTTTCCTTGCCTTTCCCCGCCCCTCTGAGACGCGTCATGGTGACACCTGGCTCTTGCATCCCAGGCGCTGCGTGGCTGAGGTTACTGCAGCGACAGCACACACGGGGTCACATTCCCCTGTAACTACAGCCGCGGGACGTGAGTCAGGAGAAAAGTTTCCCTTGGTTTTTATTAGTGTATGATGCAGCCCCATGTCATCCATAGTTCCTCACCTGTCCAAGCCTCACACATGATGTGGAACACTCGATACTCATCACTGTGGAAAGTTAGATGGTCCAGGGGCCTCTCACTGAAGTCTCTGCAGTCGCCAGCTGCCTCCCCACACCCCTGCCTAATACCTACAATGAGAGGACAGCAGTAACACTCAGCCTCCCCTTCTGGAACTCCATTCCTGCTAATGTATATCCTGTATGCTTAAAAAGCACCAGTGATCTTGGTTAATAATCAAGAAGCCCCTCTTTTACCCAGGGAGCTGGATAATGGTTGACATCCTAGAAGACATATTTTCACTACCATGGGTGAAGAGAGCATGTGCTGAACAGTAAGGTTGGAATTACTGTAATTCTCTATGAGAATTCATGAAAGTGGAATTTACTGTTTAAAATTGATGACAGTAGTCATATAGTTCTTGGTAACTTCTAAACTGAGATTTGCTTTATTTTTCAGACATGGAGATGACTTGATTGTGACTCCATTTGCTCAGGTAAGCACAGTTTGGTGAATGGGCAGGTTTCTCACAGGTCTTCAAATTTAATTTGGGGCTTCTGGTTCTTAATTTCATTTTAAGTCAAACAGAATACAAATTTTATGGTACATTCAAGTAATTCAAAAAGCAATGCTATGGCTTTATGACTGTGGCCATACCAGTCTGTTTCCTATAGACCTATAGATCCAAGCATCTTTCCTTCAAATTAAAAATAACCTAAGTGGCATACTTAAATGGCATCACATCTTCTTCACTGATATAAGCACTAGAAGTAGAATGCAATATCACAGATTCAATTATACTTAATATAATTAGGTACATGATCAATGCTTGAAATTCAGTATTCCAGTCAACCTGGTGCTTTGTTTACTCCTTTTTTTTAACAAGCAATTTGTACAAAGATTTAACTGATTGATATATTTATGTTTATTTGTTCCTTTTAGACATACAAATCTTAAAAATACTATTAGCCACAGGACATGAATGCTAGAAGGTGTTAAGATGATTTAAAGCATTTTGTAATAAATATAAAATGGTTGTTAACTAGATATTCTCTGTATAGACTAGGGTTTCTCAACCCTTGCTACACATTAGAATGACCCAGAAAGCTTTTTATCCCAGGCCTCACTCCTGATCAATTGAATAAAAAAAAATCTAAGGGTCAGACCCAAACGCCTGTATTTTTTAAAGTCCCCAGTATTTTTCCAGGCAAAGTTGAGAGTCACTAGTATAGACAGACTAGGGATGGAATGGGATAAAATGGATTTAACCTGGAGCATGAAACAGGGTTAAAGCTAACACGAACTGTTACTAAGAAATGTTAAATATTGGAATATGAGTGATCCAGAGAGGTTAGAAAAATCATCATCAGCGCAAGTCAAAATTAGCTCTCGTGCCTGTAGACAACTCGTTTAACTTCTCTAAGACTTTTTCCAGTTGGTTAAAGTGAGGAACTTGGCAGGGTGAAAACAGGCTCCAGTTCAAACCTGGTTGTCTGCCTTTGCTACGTGAAACATTTCACTGGGACATCACTAAACATTTCCAAGCCAGTTACCTCCTCTGCTAAATGACAGATCCTAGAATACCTACCTTATAAGGTTATTAAGAGACTGAAGTAAATCACAAGCTTGTGAAATGTTCATGCAATTTCTAGGAAATAACACAATAAATTTCAAGTGTTATTGATTAAGGGTTCCTTCATCTCTAAAATGCCACAATAGTGTTTTTTTTTTAATGCCTAAAGAGGTTGTTTTGATAGTAGGACTATGTTTAATTCTTCTACTTTTTCAAATTTCCTGAAATTTTGTAATCGTTATAATTTAGACCAACCAGTCAATGAATCCATAAATAACACACACTGTATAACAGCGTTTTTTTTTTCATTAATTCAGACAGTGAAAAATAGAATACAACCACCATTCATTTAAGGAGTTTAAATCTTGTTTGTTTAAAAGTTTTGTGGAGATCAGAAATTCTTTCTAGTACCAACATTTCTATACTCAAAATACTGTGGGAACTAAGGAACACCAGGAGACACAACACCAATGAAATGTGGAAACCTGCTTTGTAGTCAGCTGCCTCTGGCCTTACCTGTCCCATTATTTGTCCCATTACAAGGTACAGGACTACTTTGTAAAACTCTTAAGTCAACTAGAATTCTCATCTACAGGTTTGTTAAAAGAAGTGGAAGAATGTTAAAAGAACTGGAATCTTTGACTAAGGAAAATAAAAGAGAATACCCAGACATTATCTTGGATTTCTGGGAAAACCCTCAAATCATTCAGACTAAGGAGATGTATCTGATTTAAAAATACAGGATAGGAACACCTGAGTCATTGTACCTTTACTCTAACCAAAATACAGCACCTGGGGTAATTTTTTACAAGATGTAGTAATTATTAGCAGTATAGAACATTACTATGCCACTCTAATAGAATATTGCCAATATTATTTAAATGCCCATGGGTTTCCTTTCTCTAGCAGCAGCCACTTAAGGCCTGACACAATCCCCACCTTGCTAAATCCACCAGGCTCTCCCTACCAGGCTATGAAAGGACATAATCATCACATTTCAGTTGCTTCTGTCTGTTAGTTTTTCTTTGTCATTCATTAAAAAATTACAATTTGCATCTTCTAGGAATCTAAGTACTTTTTAGGTTGAACAATATGAAATTACCAAATTCAACCTTTGCTGGCATACACAAACAGCAGTTTCATATGATTTAACCGAAACTACCTTGAAAAGAGGTTTTCTCATCTATCAAAATAACCTTTCTATCTGTAAATAATCATAATTTGACTCCAGTTTTTTTCTGGAGGTAGTAACAAGGCAAGGATTTCTCCTCCCACTTTCCCCTAAGGCCAGTGACAAACTCATGGTCTGTGTTTTATTGCCATCTAGTGGCTTAAAGTGTATTTGGAATGAAAAACACAATCAAAATCATTTTCTTGTTTTTTAAGGAGGGGTTATTCAAAAAGAACGTTATTGCCATGTCTGCTTTGAAAAGGCAGTCTCTTCTTTAAATCTTTTCAAGAAATTATTATATAAGTATACATTTATTTTAGGCTTTTATGTTCAGTTGTTTAACTTTTTAATGAAACCCACATTTTTCTCTTATTTTCAGTGATTCTTATTAGTTAAGCATTGTTTAGAAGTACCTAAGAAAACCTGAGATTAATGTGTGTCAATAACATTTAATGCCTCTCAGGGGGTACATAATCCATCTCTGTGCAAAAGTTCTCCATAGCACTATCATAATTATTTTCCAAAAGTGTGTATATTTCTCATCACTCTCAATGTATTTCTGATCTTGACTGATTACATTTTTGCTTGGGGGGCAGAAGAAAAAGAAATGAACTTAATTTTTTAACCATTGAGCTGTGTGAGAGAAAACCCCAGGGATCTTTTTCATTACCAAGCCATAAGGAACGAAGAAAATTATAGGCGCATTAAAGCTCTGACTACAGTTCTGACTGCAGAAGGGATTGAATGCAAGGGGAGTGCGAGCTGCCATAGAACAAGAAGAACAGAATAATTGAACCCTAACTCAGGGTCTTGAGTACAACTGTTTAGTTCTCCCCAACGGCTCAGAGCAGCAGAGGCCTCCCTCTATGTCCTGCAGTACCAGTGCCAGCATGAAAGACTTAATGCTGTGCATTCATCACGTAGACACCTAGGGTCCATCAGCTAGACCAGGGCAGTGCCCCCTTCTCAGATTTGTCTGGAATTTTTATTTATACTTCTGCCTATATCATATGTGCCACAGTGCAGAAGATAATAGCCCTTAATATAAAATTAGAAAATACTATGTCCTACCACAAAAACAATGATCTTGTACTTGCACAGATAGGGAATGATATATCTACAAGTTATTTACTGAAGCAGTGTTTATAAAAGTAAAATTTAGGAGACAACCTAGAAGCTAATCAGTAAAGGGGACCAGCAGCTGAATGCCTTGGGGAGGAGCTGGGAGGAAAATTTCTTTCTTTTACTTTTTATTTTGAAATATTTCATATATATAATAAAATATATCTAGTGCCTACCCAAAATATAAAGAATACTAAGATCAACAGTTTAAGAAATAGAACAGTACCAGTATTTTTAATGCCCTGAGTGTCCCTCCCCCATTTCATCTACATAGCTCCTCTCAGAAATAACAATAATTCTGATTTTTGTTTTTGTTATTAAGGGGCACTATGTGAAAATATAGATTATTTTTGTTATTAAGATTGTTTTTGTTATTGAGGGGTACTATGTGAAAATACAGATTATGCAAAAAACAAGTACATTAAACTTAAATTTAAATGAAAACAAAATTAATTTATCATTTTTCTTATACAGAGTCAAAAACCTTTTTACAGAAAAACAGTTGTAGTGAATCTCTCATGAATTAACATTTCCTTTCAAATGAGCATAGAACATGAGTTCACTGTAGTACTATTTATATTTACCCAACTGTCAAATGCAGTATGCTTACTGAAATTTATTAGAATAAAATTCTCAGAATTCTGAGGTTTAAATTTTGCCCAGATAAAGTATCGAGTAGGGAGGACGATAATCTTATTTAAAATGCTTTATTAATTTATTTGATATTTGTTTCTTAAAACATAAATTAAGCCTGCATGATTTAATGACAGTGGATCTTTGACAGATTTATTTCTGCATCATTCAAGATTTCATGCCTAATGAAAGACATCATATTCCATGTCAGCAGTTGACTATTTGAATACCCTGTCATAGGCAGCATGACCTTTTCAGCACTACAACTTGTTTATATGGTTTTTCTAGTGACTGAATTAATCATGGTTGGCATAGTAGAAAGCACCATTAACTCCTTCAGGGGATAATGCTACAGGTCACTGTCCTAGGGCATAAACAATACTTAAAAGAAATAATGTTAATTTCAAAAAAAAAATGTCTGAGATTTTTGCCTTAGGAGAAAAAACTGAGACTGACTACTCTAGCTTAGTGCCATATGGAAATACTTCTGGATCCTTTGGAGCAATTATTAATTTGCCCTCCCCACCTTATGTTATCAATGATAGGCATTAAATGAGTTCCTTCTGTATATGCAAAAGCACTGATCAAATGGAATGTTGCCATAATGGGCTCATATTCACTGAGTGCTTTCTATTTGCCAGGCACTGTTCTTGGCACCTAACCTGTCATTCATATCATCTTAACAACCCTGTGAGGTAGATATCACTATCTCAGTTTACAGATGAAAAAACTGAGGTACAGAGAAATTATGTAACTTGTCTTAGTTCACACATTTAGTAAGTAAGAGAGCCAAGCAGTCTGGGTTGTTATGTAGTACCTAATCAGACATTTAAAATATATGTTTTAGATAAACTTAATGTTCTATTTTTCACCCAGATTACCTGTAATCTCACCTAATACAGCCTCCCTTCTGGTGAGAGAACTAGCCCATTCTAAGGGAAAGGGAAGGGATAAAGCTCTTGTAACTTGTCTCTTCTAGTCTCACTTCTAATGCTTTTGCCATTTTCTAGTTTCACAAAAGGAAGTAAAAGGAAAAGCTGTCAGAGATGCCAGGTTCTGTTGGTCCTGCCTTGTATGTGCCTGTATGTTGTATCTGTGTATCCATTTATTTAACCAATTTGTATTGAGTGTCTTCAGTGGGCAGCACTGTGCACATGCAGACTGGTGCCATTTTTTCCCTGAGAACCTTAAAATTAGTAACTGAGATAACTTTAAAAAATATAAGAATTTTGTTACCAGCTAGAGTAGCCATGTAGCAAAGGTGAAAAACAATTTAAAATGCTGATTTTGAAATATGACATTCTTGGTAAATTTTCAAAGAGACTTTGGGAGTAATTTGTCTTAAATTTTACCCCAAAGTAAGATTTTGTTAATATTCTTTATAGGCATACCTAATTTTATTGCACTTCATTTTATGGTGCTTCACAGATAGATACTGTGGCTTTTACAAACTGAAGGTTTGTGGTAACCCTCTGTTAAGCAAGTCTGTTGGTGCCATTCTTCCAACAGCAGTTGTTCAGATCATGTATCTGTGTCACATTTTGGTAGTTTTTACTAGATGTCAAACTTTTTCATTATTTTATTTGTTATGGTGATCTGTGATCTGTGATTAAACTCACTGAAGCTGAGATAATGGTTAGCATTTTTTAGCAATTAAGTATTTTTAAATTAAGGTATGGACATTATATTTTTAGACATAATGGTTTATTTATGTATTTAATAAACTACAGTTCAGTGTGAACATAACTTTTAAATGCACTAGGAAACCAAAACATTCTTTTGCCTTTTTTTATTGCAATATACCTTTTATTGCAGTGGTCTAGAACTGAACTTGCAATATCACCAAGGTGTGCCTGTATTAGTCTATTTCAAATTCATATAAAACACAATGACACTATATGTAGATTGCCCTGGATATTGTTTTGTTGGCTGAGGAATCCATAAATATTGCAGAAACTGCTACTACTGTCACCGTAATTATAGACAATGAGGAGAGATAGCTGGAAAATCCTTGCTGTCTGGCCTCTCTGGATTTCAAATAGAAACATGTAAATTTCACTGAGTGCTGGGATATTCTTTAAGGGTATGTAAAACTTAAACTGCAAGCCATATCAAGTTTTCACTTAGCAAATCATTTTTTTTTAATCACCAAACCATTTAAAGTTACATTAAAGATGGCCCTACTTGAAGAATTTCAAAGAATCTTTTTCTGTTGTAGGTCTTGGCTAGCCTGCGAACTGTACGAAACAACTTTGCTGCATTAACTAATTTGCAAGATCGGGCACCTAGCAAGTAAGTTTTCCCTTATTTCCCCTCCTTCTTGTTGAACTTTTAGACAGTGTTTTCTCAGTTTGTTTGAACTAAAGACAATATATTAAGTTTCTCTGAATCATTGCCATATTGTCTAGCCATTTATACTAAGTCATATGACATCCTGTTAATTTTCTATAAATAGTTTGTAGTGATGATTCTAATATCAGAAATAAGCAGTACCACAAATATATACAATGATTCCATCTGTCAGAAATTACCTGACATAGTCAGTCCTCTGTCCAGTTACTTACATGTAAGCTAACTTTATAGTTTTAGCTTTCTTCATAAATTAACCGTGGACAAATAAGCCTTAAAGTCAATCCAAAGCCATCCTCTTAATTCTAAGACAATGATTACTTGGAGAAGCACCATGTCATAGCAAAGATCTTTGATTCTTCTGCTGTTATTGACTCACAGACCAGCACCATCATGGAGCAATTAAAATTGTGATTTACGATATGACAGGAAACATTTGAAAGAAGGAAAGCTGAGATGGTAGGTTGTTATAACTTGGGGGTTCTTTAAGGTAAAAAATCTCAGAAGAGACAATTTTCCAAGAGTAAATGGAAAATTGATTAGGCATTCATTCAAATGCCCGGTACTTTGACAATTATTAATAATAAAATGTTATTAAAATATCAATCCCAAAGAATTTTCCAGAAGAAAAAACACTTCTTCAAATCAGTATTAGGAGTTAGTAAATAGAAAGCTATTCAGAATCATAACTTAGCTAAGTGTATAAAAATTCATAGTTTACAACTTACAGAAAAAAATCTGAACTTTTCATCCCATGATAATATAATTGACCTCCAAATTCACATTTTCTATCATTAAAAAAAGCTCTCACCATTATGCACATACTTCCTGTGGTAGAAAAAAGGGTTTTTAAAAAATCGATACAAATTCTGCAATGAAAATAATTGGCACAGAACCCAGAAGCTTCAGTTGATTGTCATCTTTTGCAGACAATGAATTTTTGCAGTCCTGTTCCCTCAGCCTGAACGTTTCTCACCTTTTTCCTCTCTTCCTCATTGAGCTGACTCTAATTCACTCTTCAGGTCACAGCTCAAATATAATTTCTTTTGGGCCATCATCCCCGACTTCCATCAACATATTCTCACACCCACAGGCCCCAAACTGGGTGGTTTGTCTGTCCATCTCCATCTGACTATATCCTGTACCTAACTCCTATTTTAGCACCTGTCTCTCTGTGCTCCAGTTGCAATTGCTTGTCTGAGTGCTCCTTAAGAAAGTGGGTCCCCAGTGAGCAGGGCTGTCTGTACCTGGCTGGCATGTATATTCCCAGCGCCTAACGTAGTACCCAGCACAGAGTCATCACCCTGCATGTGAAAAGTGAAGTGGTAGTGCAGCCTATGGAGCCCGAGCGTGTGCTTTCAGTTCATTATTACCAAACACACCTTCTGTGCTTCACTAATGCACGCTGCCACAGCACCCTCAAGGGCCTCCGGCACTGGGCAGCTTATAGGTGCAGTCACCACCTTTTTGGAAAGCCTCTGCAGGAGGCATGTGTCAAATTTTGTTCCGGAAACTGAGGTATTGTCCTTCAAAGGCAAACAAGAAACTTTGTACCTCCTTTTACACTTCCTTCAGACATGGTCACTTGGGTACCAGCATCTAAACCTGTGGCAGGCAGACAGTTGATCAGAGAGGTGTGAGGGCGTCAGGCTGGCCGTCTCAAAAGAGATAACCTGAGGCCCATTTTGTGCAAGACAGAAGTTTTCAACTAATTTACAGGGACAAATAGATTCAGATGGAAAAGGACAGGTAGAGGAGGTTAGAAAAGCATAGTGTGTGCCTGCCCTTGACTTACTGTACAACGCCCAGCGTGACACCTAACCACACAGTATGAGCTGGTAGATACTACGGGCTTTATGCTCTTCTGGTCAGTGCAGATTTGTACCTCCTTCACAGCCCAAACCCAACCAGCCTCCTCGGGCATCAGAATAGAAGGAACCACTCTACCCACAGTTAAGCTCTGTTCTGTTCAGTGATGACAACATGGAAATAACTCTGGCTCATCACGTGGTGACCCTGAGGAAATCAGGATTTCCTGTGCTATGTGCTGACAGTGCCACTAGACCATTTCCAGGCTTACCCTTGGGTTTCGTGGAAGGCGTGTGCTGCCTTGCACAACCCACCCTTTTTATTTGCTATTGGAATGGCGTCTGGGAAGTGCGCATTGCTGCCTTGGCCCCTGTGGGTAGTCAGATGCATGTTGCTGGCTCTTGGTGGCCTATTACTGGTTCCTCTCATCATGCTCTTTCTTGCCCTTGAGACTTTCATGCCAGAGTGAGTTCTGGCTCATTCTTCATCAGATGATTTATCACTGTAACCGTGGACCAAATGATTAATATTCTCTGCTTGTCATCACTTGTTGGAATGTCAAGCTCCCAAGTGCCAGTTGTAGGATGGATATTAAGAGAAGATAATAAACAAGTCAATGCATTGGTTTTCAAAAGCTATACATAAGTTTAAAAATACTCATTTGAGCCCTTTCTCAGACTCAATCAGTGCTTTCTAACCTTTCACAGAGCAAGGTCTAGATAGGAGTACTTAATAAGTAAACTCTTCATAATAAACTTCTAACTAAAAGAGAACTATTTGTATATATAGACAAGCTATTTCAGAGTAGCAGTTTAAAATATTAACTTTCTGTTTTATGAAGCATTAGTCAAGTTTCAAATTCCCCCATTTCATTTCATAATTAAAATTAAAATGAAGTAAATTTTGGTACAATCAGTCAAACAAAATTTCAATCCCAAATGGACATCAGTAAATTTGAGAGCAATGAGATGGAGGCTGACTGGAACCAAGGCAGTGAGAATTCACGAAGCACCGGGGTGCCTTCCCAAGTATCTGTTAGCCCTGCTAGGAGCTCTGTCACCTCAGGAAGGCAGATTTGAACAGGGCTTAGCAAGAGCCTGCCATCCTCACAGGTGTGCCTATGCCATTTGTCCAGGTTCCATGAAAGCATCTGAAAAAATAAGGCAACCTAACAGAGTGTAACCCTTAAAATCTGATTGCTTTTGTTCAAATCTCAGCTTTCTTACTTTGAACAAGTGATTCTCCTTCCCAAAGCTTTGTTTTCCTCACTGGCAAAAAAAATGCAAATAATGAGACTACTTCCTTTAAGGTTTGTTGTGAGGGTCATAGGAGATAATTCATATGAAATGCTCATTTAGCATACTGCCCGACACACAATAGATGCTTAATAAGTGTTAGCCACTAATGGAAGTACCAAAGAGAAAAGAGCAAAAACAAAAGTTTCATACAAAATTTTATACATCTATGAATGTGTCTATTTTTTAGGTTTTTTTTAAGTGATCACTATATTTTAAATGTTTCTAATTATGTCTGAAAAATTAGAGAATATAAGATAGAATCTGTTGGAGTACCTTAGTTTATAGTGTTTCTAAAGTCTTTATACCATCTATTTGGGCAAGGCATTAATATACCTCTCTAAAAAATGCACCAGAGGTGTTTCTCAATATAAGAAAATAGAAAGGAAAAAGTTCATGTAGCTTCTTTAACTGTAATGTAGTTCACAAAGAGTCATTCACCTTCTGATAATGTAAAGGCAATCATGAGAATCATGCTAAAAATAAAAGTTTCCTAGCACTGTTTTTGGGGAACCAATCATACATGGACTACTTTTTCAAATTCAGAAAGTCTGCATTTACTCTGTAAATTCTAGCTTAATTGAATATAGTCAATCAATAAGAACTTCTTCTTCTGTCATGTTCCTATGACATTCACATCAGCTTTATTTACCCCTAAGTCCTGTCATTATGAGACTTAACTGTTTTCTTTTTGACAGGTGTGATCTGAACTGTAGCACAACAAATGCCTAGGAACTTGGTTGGCTAGTCTGAAAGTCTTCATTTGCATGCCCTAACTTAAAAATAATCCTTTAAATTAAAATGGCATATCTGAAATGATTCAGAGGGTCCTCATACAACAAGCACTACCTATTTAGTGTTTTGTGTTTTTCTCTCTCTGTCAGAAGATCACCCATGTGCAACCAGCCACCCATCAACAAAGCCACCATAACAGGTAAGAAAGATCTGGGCGCTTATTCTTCTTGCATCTAGGAAGAAAACTAATCTTCCAAGAGTCAACATAATACTAGCACCATTTCTAAAATTGCAAAGAAATTAACCTTTTCTACTGTATATTGTCATTATCATTTCTCTTATTGATCTTACCAGGTGTCTATTTAAGCTATCAGTTGGAAAATCTTTACTGATATACTATTTTTTAAAAAGCATTTAAATTTGTGCTTGTACTAAGTTTAGCACTGTGCTGGGCATTTGTATTTTGAGAGATAGCATTTCCTTCAAAATTTGGACCATATTGTTTTCAGACTTACATCATCAGCACAATGTCTAATTATGCAAGGTGACTTGGTTTAATGAAAGTGAAAGCATAAATAAAAGGTACCTTCTTGGTTTATCAATATCTCAGCTATATATGAAAGAGAACACCATTTAAACAGTCCTGATTTGGACCCAGAGAGTTGAGAATAAGTTCACTTTGAGAAGGAGGAGAAGTAATTATACAATACAGAAAAGTTCAGTGAGTTCAAAAGAACAGATGTTTGGGAAAGAGCAGTAGAAGGAAGGATGAGAGACATAAAAGGTGGGAAAAAAAATTACCCTGATTCTTACTAGAATACTTTAGACATGGGACTTGACCTCAGCTGAGCCAAAAACAGAACAAATGATCTCATTTTGCTGAACCTAAAACCAAATTGAACTCATTTAATCATTTCTTGAAACCCCAATTGATTCATTAAATGATTGCTTAGAAAAGAAACCTATGTTTTCTAAAATTATTATGAGAAAAATTAACATATTCTCCAAACTAGACTGATATCTCATTTGATTCAAGTGTCTTCCTTGGATTCCATTGCATCATATGCTGAGGAGCTCCCCCCACCCCAGTTATTAGTGAGTGTGCTTGGCCTGGGTGTTGTTAACTCCACAGCCAGTCCAGTGGGTCTTGTTTGTGTTCACTGCAGCATATTGAATTCTGGAACAGTTGTTTATGTTATTTCCTAAATATCTTTCGAATAGGACTTGTATCTCAATCAGTATTAAATTTGTGCTTCTCTTTTCCATGTTTATCTTTCAACATCTTATTGATGATGATTTTCAACTGTCATGTCATAGTCTATGCCTGGTTTTCCAGTTTTCTTCTGGGCATTGGTCCAGAGATGAACAATAACTGAAATTCCTACATATTAAAGCAAGTTATCTGAGTAACAGATTTTCTTCTTCAGAAACCCAAATCCAGTGTAAATGAGCCTAAGCAGAATAATACTGGGCCCCTTTGTCTCGACGCACTTGCCTGATTGTTGAGGGATGAGCAGGCTATTATGAGCATGTGGCTGGGGCCTGTAGTGATGAGCAGGCTATTATGAGCATGTGGCTGGGGCCTGTAGTGAAAGAGACCACATGAAATGTTGTCCCCAGTCCTGCCCTGGGCACTAGATCAGACCCCTCTGAGGAGCGTCAGCCCCGCCCCTGCCCCTGCTGTGTTCCGGGTAAGCAAGACTGTGACCTTGTGGTGGAGCAGAGTGCACTGCTGTTCTGGCTCCTGCAAGCCTCTGTAGCTTGAGGCCACATCTGAGCCAGCCCCCCGGAAGAGAAGCTGCAGCTGCCAGCAGACATTGTGTCCAACAGAGGCGGTGGGTTGCTCAGTGGGCAGGGCAGCTGCCGAGCCACTCTGGCAGGTGCCTGGCACTGATCAAAGGGAGAGTAGCTATGCTAAGGGCATAGGCTTGCTTTTGAACAGATGTGAGAGACCTTAGAAGCTCCCAGAAATTCTCATATAGTATTGAGGTGCAGGAGCAATACCAGAGGGAGCTCTGAGCCACTGAAATCTGGGAATTAAGGTTGATATGGCTTCATCTGTGCCTACAAGTGCCTGACCTGAGGCCTAGGGACAGTGGGACTACAGGAATAACTTATCTAGGAAGGGAAATAAATTAGCTGCCGTTAATTGTCCACTGCAGCTGTGTTCATCACAAGCCACAACAGGAAATGAACCGACTGGAGAGTGGAGGTCTTTTTTCTTGCCCAAGCACAGCAAACCAAGGTGCAAAAGTGGAATGGGAGGTGAGGGAATAAGGGCAATGGAAAAGAAAATGTCCCCTCTCAGAGCCTAGTCTGAAAAAGTGGGCTCTTAACATCATAAGTAATGATAATAATACTGACAGAGACTTTGGTAGAAGAGTTGAGACACACAGAAAAGGTGGTACTTTGGAATCTCTCCCTCCACAGCTGCCCACTCAGGTCCTACCTCCCTGTTCACTCCCTGTTGCTGGAATCCAGCTATAGCTCTGGGAGTGTCCTAGGAAGGGCAGAGAAGAATGTTATCAAGAGCCAGTGGGGTGCCCTCTAGGGTGAACTTGGCCACCTTAGATATTTTGCCTAGGATCTAGAGGAACCATGTAGCATATGGTTAGGTTCAGGGCTGGTCCCAATGGGGCACCCAGAGGGCAGCTCCCTAGAATATCACTCACAGGTGTCCCTGGAGTTGTGTAGCATGGGTTCTTGGCCTGCCTGGAATTCAAACCATGCTCTTCCATGACAGCTGTGTGGCCCTAGGCAGGTTGCACACCCATTCTCTGCCTCAGTTTCCCCATTTATGAAATGGTGATCGTACTTACAGCTATTGCTAAATTAAATGAATGCACATTTGGGGTATTCTTGGCATTGTGATTCACTCAAAACATCATTTTTTATTTTGTTTTGCTGTTGTTTTTATTTGGTTTTTGTTTCTAGGGCTGACTGTACATAGAACTAGGGCGATGGAAAGAATAGTCCAGAAAGATAAAAGAAGGGAAGGAGAGAAAAAACAAGCTTGCAGGATCTTAAAAGTAAAACTTCCATACCCGCCAAAAGGGTCAAAATGGACACATTTCCTTTGTGCCTGTCCAAAGTGGGTCCTTCTGTTGCCCCCAGCGCTGTGTCCCTTCCTCTGACAGCCACAGATATTGGTGCCTTTGCGATATGCGCAATAAACTACAGTTCAGGATTATTTTCGAAATCTAGGAACTTACTTTTGAGTCATAGACCTTTGAAGGGAAAAAAATTAACTCCATCTTTTTCTTGCATCATCTTTTTGATAAAAAAAGAGTTAAGAAATTTGTCTGCATATGTCACACTACGTTTTCTAAAGCTTTCTCCCATAGAACTTAGACTACTCTCTTCTCCCTTTGCGTTTGTTCCATTTCACACGTCTGAAACACAGGAAAGTTTGATTTTCTATCATTAAGGTTAAAGCATGTTATTCCTTGCCAGTTTTTATTTCCATATGTAATAGGTAAATACGTTGCCCTAAAATGAGTTAGCAATTTTTAAAAAATAAAGCTTCCAAATATGTATTTATGTAAGTTTCCAATAATCCACTTGTGAAAATGGATTTCCAAATATCCATTACTATGAAATAGCTATTTTATTCACTAGCGTGATGCAACTAAAGATGGTATGTGTGGCATTTGGACCTTGAGTGCAAACCCTGTCTCTTTCATTCACTTTGTTTCCTCACTTGAAGCCTGGAGATCTGAACACCTCCCTCTCAGTGCTTGTGCCGAAATTCAAGGGGACAGTTAGATAAAGAACGGAGCTTAGTAGGTTATGAGTAACTCACAAAGCGTTTCTTCCTATGACCCTACTCCATTCCGGACATTTTGTTGTTCCTAAAACTAATTTAAAACCTGTTAGATGTGGACATGGATGATATGGCAGCTTTTCTGATACACTTCCTTCATGATTTTGTTTTCAGACAATAATGATAGGATATTTTTAGGAATCCCTGTGTTACTTAGAGCAAGGCTGAGCCGCATACATCCATAGCAGGAGGTGAACATCAGTGCTAAGGAGCTTGTAGGGACGTGAGAGGACAGCAGCGAGTCCGAGGTGCCCACGCCGTACCAGGACTAGGCTGTTCTGTACTGTTTTTGTATGAGGAGGAAAAAAAAAACAAAGATATTAACTGGAACAACTATTTAGTTATTATCTGGACCATTTTAACACTTTGAATTTATTAAAGAAGGGAAAGCAAGCAACTGTTGTCGTGACTTATATGTAACCATAATGATGTTAGCCTTTTAAGTCTGTATGTGTGTAATAAAAATAAGTAGTACACACACACACATAACAGGTGATCATTGAAAGCAAGGGCCATGTGAAGAAGGCAAAGGGGATGTAGGTGAGAGAAATAGGAAGGCCTAAGGAAACACTGAACTAAAACTAAAATGTATGTTAGAGCCCTGAGCCCAGAGGAGGATGAACACCCAGCTATTCCACAGAGTCCCATCCTCCTTGTCACCCACTAGTGGGCATTACCTTCATTGTGTAGTTGTGTTTTCTCCCTCTTAGTAAGAGCAAGGATGGTGGCAACACTGTAACAGTTGCAGAGAGTGAGTGCTCAGCGGGCTTTGTTAGGAATGTGATTGAAAAGTACTGAGAGCATTATGTTTAATAGCTTTAATAAAAAATAAATTGTGTATATGTGTTAATATATTAACTTTCTTTAGAGTTTCTTGCTTGTTTTACTTTTATGCTTAGTACATCTAATAACTGTCAAATGCTCTAAATTTTTTTAAGCCAAAGGAGGTTACTTTTACAAAAATCCCCTCATTTTAAAAAGATTTGTCTGGGAAAAACATTGAACTGGAAGATTTGCTTAAATGCATGGAGTATTACAATTCATTGAACTTACAATCTTTTAGAGGGATGGGTGAAGTCTGTTTTCTTCCTTATAAGATAACTTGTTTTGCCTTCTGTGCTTTTATTTAGATAGTTACCTATTAATATACAAAAAGCTAGGTTTGATACCGTGACTTTTTAACCAGGAATTGATTGAAGTAATGCTAGGTTTTATGAACAGTGGAAACAAATGATATGTCAAAATTGTAGAGAAAAATGATTTAAATGTATCTCTATTGCCTGAATATCTGCTCTGGATATTTTGTTATAACTTCAATTGACATAATTAAATGAGACTGCATATTCATTTAGTCAGTAGAGTAAAAAGGTTATGAG